TTCAGTGTTCTCACCTTTCCTCTCTGAAACTCAAACCACTCCCAGAAGAAATAGTATCAATTTGTTTTATGCAGGAATTTAGAAATAAGGACCATGTTGGGAATGGTTTGATAGAATCAAAGGACTTCCATTCCAGTTTCCAGAAATATCAGTTGTATCCTGATTTCTCTATGGTATGAAACACTGGTGGGCAAAAAGGAGCTCATGTTCCATCAACAAACAACATAGTGCTTGCTGCTGCTTCCTGGACTATGTGGACCTTGGCTTGATCCACAAGGCAGACTCATGTTCTTAAGCAAGAATGTATACACAGAATCACTTAACATTAAGTGTTAATGCCTTAATTTTGTATGTGTGTGTGTGGTGCGGAGGTAGGGTTGCCAGGTCTGGGTTGGGAAATACCTGGAGACTTTGGGGGTGGAGCCAGGAGAGGGTGGGGTTTGGGGCGGGGAGGGGCCTCAGCATGGTACAAGGCCACAGAGGCCACCCTTCAAAACAGCCATTTTCTCCAGGGAAGCTGATCTCTGTCAGCTGGAGATCAGTTGTAAAAGTGGGAGATCCCCAGGCCCCACCTGGAGGTTGGCAACCGTATGCGGAGGAGGTTGCACTCTTGGTTTGTAGATTTAAAACATTTTGGTGCAGTGTGGAAATTCTGTTTTTAAAAGAAGGCAGACCTTGGAAGATTGAAATAAACTCATTTTTAGTATAAAGCAGTTACGACATTTGCAGTAATTGCCACATTGGCTCATAAAGGAACTACTTATACAAAGCTTTTTCATTGCAAAGAGACCAATGAAGACTCACAGAGTGTTGAAACCTTCTGTGCTTGCACTTTATTAGATCACCGTTCCAGCACTTTAGGATAATTGATAAATTGTTTATGGTTGTTTTTATGAATGGTTTTAATTGTATTTATATATGGATTTTTACGTAAGCCTCCCTGAGCCTACCTTGGCGAGGAAGGCGGGTTATAAAGTGAACTAATAAATAAATAAATAAATAAATATATGTAGGTAGAATGAAGTGTGAAATCAACACCAGTGCTATCTGGATTAAGGTGCAAAATGCAGTGATTTGCCACTGCTGGGTAAAGATATTTTGAAAAGCAATGACTCATGTTACTTTGGTTGTTACATTTGAATCTAAATTATTTCATGTTATGCTGGAGTGCCAAGTTACTCTTGTAATGCCTGACAACTATAGTTTCCACAGTTGTACTCCTGTTGTTAAACTGTAAATATTTCCATCACTATGCAAATTTCAGTATCACTTCAGTAATCTGTTCATATTTTATATCGTTCTGAGCAGTACTCTGAAATCTATGTCCCTGTGGGATGACACTAGGTGAGAATCTTACTTTGAACCTGGAAAATGCCTTTCTACATAGATCAATGAGTCTAATAGACCAATTCTAAACATTTTTACTCAGAAGTAAATCTTGTTCTGTTCAATAGAACTTCCACAGAGTAGTGCTTTATTTTGGTGAAGATAACGAATGTCTTCTAGTTGCTGGGGATTATAAACGTTTTCCTTCCAGTCCATGTCACCATTGAAGAGAACCCAGAACTCAGGCTTGAACAACAGATAGAACAGTTATTGGACTACCACACAAAATAGCAGCCTTGCGTCTCTTCTGCTTCTCCCTTGTAATGTTTAGTGCAGGAATCCACAACCCTGTTGAGCTTGCAGGTATTTTTTGAATTTTGAAACCACAACCACAAAATGGGAGGCAGGGCCAATCACAAAATGGCTGCTGGTGGGGCAATTAGAAAACATCCAGAAGTTTCAAGCCATTCATCCTCCTCTGGGGGCAACTATTTATGAGTGGGCATTCCCTGCAGACCCAAAGATGATGCCACTTGGGATCTTCTGAAACACGTCTTGCTCCAGTGAGGTGCAGGAAAGCCAGACTGGTACTTTGCTTTTAGAAAGTGGATAAGAAGCAAATGGACTCCAGGAACACACTAGTGGGAACCATGCTGCTTTAGTGTGATGTTGTGTTATTCTGTGGCAAGTTTTCCTGTGCATGATCCATTTCATTAGCTGGATCTTAGAGCTGGGGTAAATTTGCAGTGTAATAGCATTATTCAGAGTGTGGTGTAGTGGTTAGAGTGTTGGAATAAGATTGGGAAGACCCAAAGTCAAACATCTACTCTGTCATGAAATATTGCTGGGTGACTTTGGGCTACTCACTTTCTCACATCCTAACCTGTTGTAGTGACGATAAAACAGATATGGGGGGAATCATGTATGCTGCCCTGAACTCCTTGGATGAAGGGCTGAATAAGGATGTCATGGACAGATCATGCCATACTGTTTATCACTTGACATCATTACAGAAAGGTGAGTAGTGGCAGAAAGAGAAATAGAGGGTTGCTGATTTTGATGGCAGCCCCGTGCCTGCCAATTCCTTTAATGTCTGATGTCAACATTGTTGGAAATGTATGTGTTTACAAGGTCTGATGATTCAGTCATTATAGGGTTAACTTGTATTCCTAGTTTGCTATTGTTTAGACTGACCTGGAAGGGATACCTGGCACTGAGCCAATGGGGAATTAGCCCGGGAAAAGTAGCTTCTACTGTGATACAGATTGGTCATTTGTTTCAGGTGACTTCCTTTCTAGGGGTCAAGAAGAAGGAGAGATTCTCCAGTATCTGTGTGCTTGTCTTAAGTATAGGCAGCTTAGAAATGTAGCTCTTAGTGTTATGTTGATTTGTAGTAATCCCGTGAACCCTTTACCCTTAGAATTAAAGGTTTTTAAAAGCAAAGAAATCTCTTCTTTCCAATAGAGCAAGATCCATCAAATAGTCTGAGTATTAAACAATTTTTGACTATTTTACAACAAACATAACAACATAAGAACATAAGAGATGCCAATGTTGGATCAGGCCAAAGGCCCATCCAGTCCAACACTCTGTATCCCACAGTGGCCAGAAATACCAGTGCCATCAGGAGGTCCAGCAGTGGGGCCAGGACATTAGAAGCCCCCTCCCACTGTTGACCCCCCCAAGCACCTAGATGACAGAGCATCACTTGCCCCAGAGTCCCTATCTATACCTTGTGGCTAGTAGCCACTGATGGACCTCTGCTCCATATGCTTATCTAATTCCCTTTTGAAGCCATCCATGCTTGTAGCTGCCACCACTTCCTGTGGCAGTGAATTCCAAGTGTTAATCACTCTTTGGGTGAAGAAGTACTTCCTTTTATCTGTTCTAACCCGACCGCTCAGCAATTTCATGGAGTGCCCACGGGTTCTTGTATTGTGAGAAAGGGAGAAAAGTACCTCTTTCTCTACCTGCTCTTTCCCATGCATAATCTTATAAACCTCAATCATGTCACCCCTCAGTCGTCGTTTCTCCAAGCTAAAGAGCCCTAAGTGCCTTAACCTTTCCTCATAGGGAAAGTGTTCCAACCCTTTTATCATTCGAGTTGCTCTTTTCTGCACTTTTTCCAAAGCTATAATATACTTTTTAAGGTGTGGTGACCAGAATTGCACACAGTATTCCAGATGAGGTCGCACCATTGATTTATATAGGGGCATTATGATCTTGGCTGATCTGTTTTCAATACCCTTCCTAATAATCCCCAGCATAGCATTGGCCTTCTTTATTGCAGTCACACACTGTCTCGACATTTTCAGTGAGTTATCTACTACAACTCCAAGATCTCTCTCTTGATCAGTCTCTGCCAGTTCAGACCCCATCAACGTGTATTTATATTTAGGATTTTTGGCACTGTAATCCTGTGATTATTCCCTCAAATCAGTGGTACCACTTCCAGCCATTGCTACTCACACATTATAGAACTATTCTGTTTACTTTTCAATCAATATCATATTATTCCTGCATTTTTAGTGCTCTGAAGAACAATTATGCTGTCATTCCTAATAGAGAGAGAATCTTAGTAGAAGTCCATATTTTCTAGCAACCATGCTTAGTAGGGTCACCAGGCCACAGCCAGCAACTCCCGGGAGGAATTGGTGGTGGTGGTGGCATCATGCTGGATCACTGATGTCACTTCTGGTAAAAACTGCAAGGGACAACTTTAGACACTCTAGCATTTGCAAAAACTCTATGGGTTTATTAGTGCACCTACCATGTTACTTCCAGTTTTCACCAGAAGTGACATAACATGCCAGCATGACTCTGGCTTGTGATCCCCCCTGTTTCCTCCTGCCAGAGCCTCAAGTACCAACAGGAGAAGGGTGCTTGTGAAGCCCAAGTCATGTCACATGTTGCATCTAGGGTGCAGGGGCAATGGTCACTTCCAGGAAATCTTAATATTATGGCTCGAAACATCTTCTTTTAACCCCTCCCCCTTTTAAAAACATTCCACCTGATGAGGAACTACAAAATCTTGCACATTGTTTTATTTATTTTGAAATTTATATCCCCCCCTTTCTGCCCCCACAAGGGCCTTTTACACTTGTTTCTATTAAAAGGTAGTATCTGGCTTCTTCTTGGATTCTGCTTTGGACCAAGGCAGCTACATGCAACCTCTACCTATAAGCCTAATTACATTTTTAATTATTTGAAAAATGTTAATGCTATGTGTTCAGAGACCTGTCCAAGATGGTTCACAAAGTTAAAATAAATTAAATAAATTTGTAAAAATAAAAGCACGTAACCAAGCCGCAACAGCCCTTTTTCTCCAGGAAAAGTTGCTCCAGGTAAGGAGAATTTAGAGCACAGAAACAATAAGGGATACGTAAATATAATCCTTTCCTCATCCATTGCTGCTAACCCCTATTGCCCCCAAAACACACATACAAAACATGTGGGATGGTGGTATTGTACAGAAGTGGCAAAGAAAAAGTTAAACATCTTTCCTTCCCTGCTACAAAAAGCCAGCAAGTGAATTAAACACATTTGCACCTAGTGCCTAATTCAGCCCAAAAGACTTGCAGTGCCAACCTAATCAGCTCAACGCAGGATCCTATTCAATGGGGCACCTTTACATCTGAGCTCCTATGGCATTTTCTGAGACAAACTCTTTGTACCTGACTGAGATTTTTGATGGGATGGGTTCTTTTCTGTAGAGGAAACTTCATAGGTGCCAGTATCGGGACTCTGGAACATATAGCTGTCATTTGGCAAAGAGTGGGTGCGGCCCACAGTAGGCTTCCTTACACTCAGCAGATCCTTGCTTGGAGAGAGAGTCAGAGGGTCATTCCCCGAGGGAAGATCAGTCTGCAAAAAAGAAAGAAAGAAAGAGAGACATTACAGAACTGGAAAAGGAGCTGCCTATGGGAACTTTTGAGTGACAGCCACTGCAACAGACATGAGATACAGACAGCATGCATGTTATTTGGATGTACACATTCTACAGAAACCAAATGGAATTTGCATGAATGAGTTGACCAGGAAGTAATAGCCAGAATTTTATATTGATAATAAATCACCACACACAGGATGAATCACATCTGAAGACGGAAAAAAGTACAATACAAGGAAACTGAAAAACAACACTGCAATTATAAACCATGACTATTTCAGGATTAATTGAAATACAAGCATCATGCCTCAAGGTCTAGTAACAGTTGCATGCTTTGCCAGACTTTAGTCATTTAAAATGAGAAATAAAAATCCCTCCATTTCCCTAATGAGTGAAACTTTGCAGGGGTATGTACATAAAATTAGAAGCAGGGAGAGAGTGTATTTTATGGAAGGCATTTCCTATTTTGATCTTCTTTGACTCTGTGTTGCTTAAAAATAGGCTAAAGAGAAAAGCAGAAGTGCAAAGCGACTTCAATGGTGTATTTCCAACAAGAAAAATACATTTAAAAAAAAGATTATGTTTTGATGCTAAAAATGGACTGTGATAATATTGTTCAATTAAGTGAGTGACTGATCTTTTTCCTTCTTTCATAGTAGCTGGGAAACTATCAGCCAAAAGATCTTTTGCATTACAATTCTTAAGGTTTTCCTAATTTATTTCTCTAATGGTGAAACAAAATTTAATTAGTATGCATGGAAAAAAAGTATAGGTTTAGTCAATCAAACAGAACTTCTCTGCTATGAAGAATGAATTTCACTCTTCATTAATCTGATGATTTAGGTACAAGGTTCTTTTATATCTAATAACTCAAATGAACACAGTCAGTTCTGTTTTTGTTTTGAAACCCTATACAGCTGATGTGTCAGCTGAGCAAATATTACATTGAGTTCAGTGGAATTTTCTTTCTGTTACAACTTGGATGGTTTCAACAAGTATATTTTAAATTGGAGGGGGGAGGAATGCAAGGTGAGACTGACATCCATCATTCTGCTCAAGGTATGTTCGTACCAGCACCCTCTGGCAGTTCTTAGTATATTCCCCAGATCTGTATTCCTTGGTCGGCTCATGCAGTGTTTTGAGTATTTATTCTTATATATCTTTTTTCTCCTCTCATAATTAGTCAGCTATGTTTTGTATGATGAAGCTGGGTTTGTGGGTTTTCCAAAAATGCCAAATGTGTACAAAAGTGTGTGACCCTACTGAAAGTATTAAATGTGCTGAATTGTGCAAAGTACAACAAATATGTAGGAGGGAGTCTTATTCAATGTCAAGGAAGCACTGTGAAACAGCTAGAGCGTCTACAAGGTCAGGAGGAAACAGAGTGAAAGTGGAAATTAGTGAATATGTCAACATGTGTGCAATGATAATAAAAATATTAAAGAACCTAGATAATGTTAGAGGAAGAAGGACTGCTGGAATAAGGGACACTGCAAATAACTATTTGTAGTGTTGAGGGACATTGGGGTAAGGTCAAAACCTGTTTTATGACACACTACCTATTTCTAAAACAGTACAAGTGGAAGGCAGGTTGGAGCAAGACATGGGATTAGTTGTAGATGGCACAACCCCCTAGTTGCTAGTTCAATTCATGGGAAAATCAGCTGGTACAACCATACCCATAGTTCTTAAGTTGAGAGTCAATTTATTTCCCAGTTTGGATATATCTGACACAAGTGCGGAAACAAACGTTCACCATAAATTCATTTCTCAGAATATCTTACCCACTTGTAAAAAAATAGGATTTCAACAGCAAAAGTAAAAACAAAAACAAAGATCTTACAGTGATGAACATGAATGATATATCAAAAAGTGTTGCTAAAAATTCAAGATTCAACATTAATTTTTGAAATTTGTTTATAGTCCTCTGTATTTAACACCCAAACAGCAGTCATATTTTGACTAATGTGAGATGCCTTGAGATAAACTCCCAATGAAATGACTGGCATACAACCTTCTGAAAATAATACATGGGACTTTAAGGTCGGTTAGATCCAGAAACCTACTTCAATATTTATCATGATTGAGGTCAGTTATTAGGTCTCCTTGTCTCCTGCTTTTTGAAATAATATGGTTCATTCAAAACCATTCAGTGCTGTATTCCAAGTCTTTTGCATATGATGCCATGAAGCATGATGGGAAATACTGTCACGGTTTAAAGGGGATGTGTCCTAAAATAAGTAATAACTGTGATGGCAATCTACTAGAATGGCAGAAAATTCATCAACACAACACACAGCTAAAGGTAGGTATGTGAACAGGAGAAAACAAGGATGAATCCACTAAATGTTGGAAGAGAAGTTATGTCTGTTGTACAGCAGAAATAAAGCACTTGATCACTATACATCAGCTAAAAATGTCTAATGTTTCAAGGAGCGGATGGTTAAAGCAGGGCTCAAAATACTGGTTACATGTTTAGTAATTAACTCCCCCCCAACTCTTTATTCTAAAATGTCTGATCAAAATGGACACCAAGTGTATAACACAAGCTGCATTGTTTGTTAGCTTACGTTCAAAATTGATAATGGGACTCACTGCCAGACCATCTAGACATCTTTTTTTTTTAGAATAGTTTACATTCAACGGAACAGAACTAAGTGGGGTCTTTTATGTCATGGCATTTTCTTTATGTCCATAAACAATGACTTGCCTCTGATGCTGTGGGATAGACCAGATTAATTTTTCCAGGAAAAATGTGTATATTAATAAATAAATAAATAAATCAACTTCAGAGGTAATATTTATATTAACCCAAAATGGAATGGTATGATAGAAAAAGCTTTGTTCAAATGAAAGGTAATGCGTTAGATAAAAATATTGTTCATCTGAAAATGCCATAGCTATTTCCCACTTGATAACAGTATTTAGAACCCTGTAAACATCAGAATATACAGTGACCAGTGTATGTACATTGTTTTCCGGGGCATTAAGTAAGAATGTGTTATTATCATCAGGAAAAGAGTCATCCGTCAGAGCTAAGGACCAGGAATTTTCAGACAGAATATCTGACGTCAGAGACAGAGCCTCCATCTCAGCTAGAGGGATCTAAACAAGGGAGAGATGATCAGACATAAGAAACCAGGACACATGTAAATGCCTTTGAGAGAAAAAAGAAAGCGATCATCATCATAATCAGCTAAAGATTAAGGTATTTCCCCTTATAATAAGAGCATTTCTGTCATTCAAATTATTGTGTGGATAAAGCCACAAGGAAATGGAGCTAAAGCTTCCCTCTCCCCTCCATTTATTCTAAAAGGCTTACAAATAATGTAAGATGGAAATCACCAACTGTGCACTAAAGATGCACTGATTAATTTAATCTTTTGAGGGACAAACTGAGAGAGTTATAGCCTCAGTGGCTCAAGAATTAATTTTTAAAACCTAGACTAATTACATTTAAATGTTACATGCTTTTCGGAAACACCATTGTTCTCTAATCTCCCTGTTTCCAAAAGCTATGATAATATTCTCTTTGTGTTTGTTCAGTGGCTCAGGTGCTATTTCTTTTTAAAAAAGTGGTGCAGGCTGAGATCCAAAGAGCTACTTTAGGTGTACCGAAGAGCTCGGCACCATAGAATATTTTTTTTAAAAAAACAGCAGTCCTCTATGCCTTATCCCAACCTGCTTTTGACAGTCCCCTCATTTCAAAAGCTCCCTTATTAAGCATGCTGAGCTAGTTACACAGTTCTTTGGATTCTGACCACTATTTAAATGCTAGATGCTTAATCCAAAACTCCACTGTAGATCACCTTTGTCAGATCTCCACCTCAGCTCTACACCCAAGAAACTAGAACAGGCTGGGTTTACAGTGTTCCTTTAGATTCTTTCACAACTGTTACATTAAATACTCAATACCAGTAACAATGCCCTGAGCATTTTATGTGTGTTTCTAAAGAGGCACATTGATTTTGCCAACTCCCTTTCCCCTTGAAAATTTTAAATACACACAAACATGCACACATTCCTGGGAGTAAGAACCATTGGGTATGATGGCACTTTCTTCTGAGTAGACCTACATGGGATTGCTCCCTTAGGGCCCATTAATTTTCCCTTTAATTAACCAATCAGGGTGGTTAAAGTGTATCTTCCAACCATAGTTGCATGTCTACAAGCAGGGCTTTTTTTGTAGTAAAAGCCCAGCAGGAACTCATTAGCATGCTAGTCCACACCCAACAGCAGAAACTCATTAGCATATTAGGCCACACCCCTGACAGTGCAGCTCATTGGCATATTAGGCCACACCCCAGTTTCATGTTTGTGCATATGTGCTTACGAAAAACATCCGGTTTGCAACGGGATGTGGACAGGCGCCGTATGCCACGGGAGACTAGTGCTCCTGTGATCAGACGCCTGCCCGTGCTGCACGTTTTCCGGATACTAGTGCACTTTCCTTGGTACTTTTAAACTCCGCATCTTCGGTAGGACGCCACGGGTGCACTATGCTTCCCAGATGTTGCGGTATGATTGCACCCCGAAAATCCACCCGACATTCGTGCCTTTCACACGGTGAAATCTCTGTGTGACCGGGGCCATTTTGTATCAAATGTCAGATAAGTTGAGATCTTCATCCAGAATTCAGTGATCCCATTGTCCTATGAGTTTAGGGTTTAATTCCATTACCAACATAAAAAAACCTGAGCCTAGATGAGAAGCCTAATCTTTTATTGTAACATCCTCTTTAAGAAATATTTTTTTAAAAAATCTCGGGGTATCCAATCACAGAGCAATGTATTGCTTTGCATTTTATGGACCATTGCAGACTCTACTGTAAATACTCCGTCAAAGTGTACTCATTAATAATAGCAGAGCTAATGCTGCCATCATTCTCTAAGCAATATATTTGATGACCTTAATGTCAGATGCTGAATTTGACATTAAGGTGAATTTCTTAATGCTGAATTTCTAAGCAATCTTCCCATGATTTGGTGTCTCATTAATGGATTTCAGTGTGGTTCTCAATAGGTGCAGATGGCTTTCCTCTTTTGTAGGAAACATCTAGAATTATTACTACTACATCAAGATATGTATCCATGTCCTCTTACCTAATGTCTCATTTTTTTACAAGCATTAGAGCTTTTACTTTAAGTGCTCAAGCCAGTGGTGCCCACTGGTAATAAATCATTCAGGCAACCAGGGCTTGGTTTATTTATTCCAGAGATGAGTTCAGTTTCATAGACTAAGTGGACTAAAGACACCTAGTGATCACTGAATGAACCTCATTTGGATTACTGAATGTTTAGACATGTATCCATTAATCTACTTGTTTTCTGAACTGAAGTTGTGCTAAATAGCTGGATCTGAAGCTAAGAAATTATGAAATACAGTTAGCTTAATTATGAAATAGTTAGCTTAATTATGAAATTAATTATGAAATTAGTTTAATTATTAAGAAATTATGAAATGCAGTTTCCAGTAAGGCTTTCTGAATAAATTGTATAGTAAATTGACAGGGGGGGAAATACAGTGTTTATGATACCCAAGTAATTCTGCTCTGATTGTATACAGAATTAAAATTGGAGACTGAATGTTATATAACAACTTTAAACCACCACAACAAGAAGAAATCTCTGCTTGCAACAGATGAGAATAAATTGGTATTATCAACTCTATGCAATTTTCAAACATGAAAAGAAAGAAGAGGTGAAATGATCATCAGAGATCACTAGTTGAATAGCTTATTAAGGGTGCTTTTAAAAAAAAGAGATATGGGCATAATGTGAGAACTAGAATGTATGAGAGAAGAGCCACATGTTCTGCCATACATAGATCTTCTTATACAGAGTGATATGTGAATATTCTGGCACAACTTTGTATTTTGAAAGTAAAATGAGAAGAGGACCCTGTCACATAATCCTGAACATGTTTACATGGAAGAACATCCCACAAAGTTCAATAGGATGAATCTCCTAGTTAGTGTATTTAGTCTGAGGGTTGCTTGATGCAACACAAAAAAGAGATCCCCATGGTGAACACCATAATGCTTTCAGGGGAGCTATCCACAAGTGTTTGCAGGAGAATCAATGGTTGCTTAAGTGTTGGAAAGAGTATGGTTGTAGGATTCATTATTTACTGTGTTTTAAGATGTATACATGTACCTTGCCAGAAGCTGGTGGTCAGTGTTTGGGACTGCCTGGCACCTAGTTCAGAAGAGACAAGCATTGAAAGCTGGATCGGAAATGGGCAATATGGTATAATGCCTTCCTTCCTTCCTTCCTTCCTTGAAAACAGCAATATCTTCCTTCCTTCCTTCCTTCCTTCCTTCCTTCCTTCCTTCCTTCCTTAAATTTATAGACTGCCCTTCTCTGAATATACAGAGCTCAGGTTGGTAAACAACAGTAAAAAAAATACAGTAAAACAGGTCTGACAATTCAATAAATAACTAAAACAGTCTAAAACTTCAGTTCCAAGATTATTTCACTGTGTCGCAGGGGAGGCAGAGACAGAGTAAGATGAAAGGAGAAAGGGAGTGCCAGACAAGATGGTGCCCATCACTGTCCTCAATCGAAAGCCTAGCGGAACATCTCTGCCTTGCAAGCCCTGCAGAACTACATTAGGTCCCACATGCCATGGATGTTATTTGCTAGAGAGTTCCACTAGGTAGGAGCCAGGGCCGAGAAAGCTCTGGCCCTGGTCAAGGACAGCCAGATGTTTTTTGGGCTGGGGAACACCAGCAAGTTGTTCTCAGCAGACCGTAAAGGTCTTTGGGGGACATACCAGAGGAGGTGATCCAGAAGATACATGGGTTCCACATATCAAGGCCTTGAAGGTCAATGCCAAAACACTGAACCTGACTCGGTACTCCACTGGGAGCCAGTGCAGCTGACACAGCACAGATTGAATATGTGCTGTCCAGCAACACTCTAAAATACCATGCATAGGAAGAAAGTATCTATCCTAATTTAAGTTACTTTTGAAAATGAGATTTCCACCTTCATCCTTAGGGGTGTACTACAAATGATGTTGGACTTCTACAGTTAGAATTTCAGAAGTGTTGTTTGGCATAAAAAACAATCATGGGCTGCGGGCACACCGGCAGGAAAATGCGGGGGAGGGGGAGGCGTGGCTGTTTGCCCCGGGGCTAAAAACTGCGCGGTTGCATGAGCAGACCTACCGTGGAGGTCCCGTGGTAGGGGGGAGGTGCTGATCACTCCACAGTCCTGCGGCATGGCAAAGAAGCGGGGCGTGGGGCAAACGGGGTTGTTGTTTTTTTTTAACTCAAATGTGCGCATGCTCCCTTGGGTGCTTGTGCGCATCCGTGGAGACTTTGAAAAAAAACACCCTTTTTGCGAGGGGACATGGGCGGGCGCCAGAACGACCACCGGAAACACGATCAGACGCCCGCCCTTGCCCCACGGTTTCAGGAAACTAGTACCTCCGAGGTACTAGTTTTTTACCGCGCATCTTCCGCAGGAAGCCTCAGGTTCGCCACGGGAGCTCGACGCTTCCCAGACGTGGTGGTGAGATCGTGCCCGGAAAATCCGCCTATCTTCCGTCCCTCTAGCGGACCTAATGCTCCGTGTGACCGCAGCCATGGTTAACTTTTAATATGGATCAGGGCTATAATGCTGCAGAGCATTAACTCTTCCCCCTTCCAGCATTTCCCCTTGGAAATGGCTTCCTCTGTGCTGCTTTAAGCTCTGACAGGGAAAAAAGGCAAGCACAGTATTCCCCCCCCCCCCACTGAAGCTAACAGCAGTCTAGGGGTACCATTTCAGATCAAAAACATTTTTTCTCAACACCCAAGTCTCAATGCAGGTTGGTTCCTCTGGCTGCTTTTTAGGGTCATATAATATATCTGGAGTTCCAGTCACAGAATTCCAGCATCACATGTACTTTGGCTCTAACCAGCTGCATTACCTGGTAAGGTATGAAGCCAAAAGTGTGATCCCATATAACAGGATTCAGGTGTTATAGGTTATACATTGTAAATCCTCTGGCACAAATATTTACAACTGGGAGCATTCAGATGCCTCAAACAGTTTTGCTACTGCCTCACTCTTAAACTCCCCGTGGAAGTCAGGCTTCAATCAATGGCTGAGGCTGACATGTGGAGACTGCTGTCTGAACCCCTCTCTTCATTACCAGCACGATTGATTGCTTCAGCCAGTGCCTACAATCAATGCATCAAAATTAGTTGCTGAAATGATCAGATCTGGAATTATGTAACCGTGGGCACCAATCACAATGGCTGTCTTTTGTAAGGGGATTGACTCTACATTGCTAGTGTTATACCTCTTTCATCAGTGCTAAGTGCACAAAACTGACAGCACAAAACTCAGTGCACAAAACTGACAGCAAGAAGGCTTCAATAAAGGAACCCAGATGGAGTTTTCCACTTTAGCTCTCCTTTTCTTGTTAAATCCATTGTAAGAGCAGAAAAAGAAAAAATATCTGAATAGCAATGCAGGAGAATAAAAGTCCAGTTGAGGAGAAAAATTGAGCTCATTTGTCTTGAATAATATGCACACTTGTATTTGGGTCAACAGGGGAATGAACATTCATTCATGTATGTGCAGGAGTAAAACAAGGTGTGCTACAGTAGTCCACCCCCATAGCTGCATTAGCAACTCACAGCTGAAAAATCATGCACAACTGTGACTTGTGTATGAGCCAGGTATGATCCTTTTCCATGTGCAGCCTTTTCAGAAGTCTTTCTCCTTAGCAGCAGACTGGAGAAACTGCAAAGCATTTTTCTTTTTAAAAAAATCCCTCCTAGCAGCAGCTGTTTATGCTCTCTGCCAAAATGAAGTTATACTGCTTCTTCTTTTACACGTTTAAGGAGCAAGGACTAGGTTGGATGTGGGTCAGATGTAACACAATGACACATGAGTTGTGGGTTCTTCTCAGTTCCTGCACATGTGATGCCAACTTAGGACTTAAGTATATGTGGAGGGCCCATGAGCCATTTTCTCAGTCTGAAACAGTTCAGGGGGCACTATTGGGCTTGTTGAGGAATTCCATGTATATCCCTGAAACATGTGGGTTTCTTTAAAGTGTGCACCCCCCGGGACTGTTTTGGTTAGGAAAATGGCACAGGGGGCAATGCTGAAGCTGCTGCTCCAAGAGCACTGTAGCCTTGATCTAACATGGGCACTGCAGAAGCAGGAATTAATGGAGAACCCACAACTCGTGTGTCATTGTGTTACATCTGACACAGGGTGAGTAAAGGACTAGTCCAGTGCAGCACAAAGTACCCATTGCAACGTCTAGGAAAAATGTTTTACTAGCATCTTCCTCTTTTTCATGAATGAGTCTGACCCATTCAGGGTAGGAGTAGGACTGAAAGTTCCCAGTAGCTTATGATTCTCTCCCTTTTTCTTTCAGATATCTGTCCAGAATTGCACGGCTCCCCATGCACACTGTTCCTCATGGGAAGTAAAATACACATGTACCTTTCACGGAAAAAGCAACTGGGGGGAATAGTGGGGAATTTTTTTAAAAAAATTGATCTTGCTTCTCATTAGTCCTCTCCTCTGTCTGAAGGCACTCACAGCTGTTTTGCCTAATAAAGGATCCCATGGGAGGGAATCCTTGCACAAGAAGGATGCTGATACAGTATGCAAGCAAAGAGGGTTTTAAAAAAAACCCACTCCAATAGAATTCCTTTATCAGGAGTACTTTCTGGAGCACAAACAACTACCCAAAGCTAGTGGCTAGCCCAATTAATGGGCACACTATTTTGTTCTGATAGTAAAGTCTTAACCGATTAGCATAATTTGACCCAAACAGGAAATGGATTTTAATAGATGCATCATGTATTCCTAGACAGAGCTAACGATAACCCAGTGCCCTGATAATGCTGGTGTAAGGTTACATCATGCATTCTGAGACAATTAACATATTAAACAAGGTGATGTCCCGTCCCCCCCGTACAGACATCCACATATCTTGACTTCAGGATGCAAGCAGGCCAATAACTCATTCCTAATATCTTAATATAGCCCCCCAGACTTTAACATCAATTTCCTTGCACAGGAATGGAAATGTTCACAGGATCAACATCGCACCTTTATGCAATTTTAATGACACTGCTATAAATACCTACCAACATGGGAATACAAAATACTAGTTTTCTTAACATGTCTATGGCTGCAATCTGGTGCACATTTACTTGGGAGTAAGTCCCAATGAAATCAGAGGGGCTTACTTCTGATTGAGCATGCACAGGACTGGGCTGTAAATATTTTCCTCAATTTAAAGCAAAACAAAATGCATTTGCTACGACACATATGTAGTTGAGATGCTTTCTGGTTTGATACCCTCCCTACTTTAGAATGAAAAAGAAAACGTCTTTTTTTTGTTCATAAACGTTTCGATCCAAATTTAGACAGAAATCTTGCAGGAAATTAGTAATATATTAACCTGTTTCTCAGAGCTGTAATTTTCAGTAGTTGGAAGGGCATAATGATGGCACACAGAGCCTGACAGGTTGTCCATCAGCTTCAGCTCTCCTTCCAAAGATTCCTGGATCAGCAGTGATATGGTATCAAACAAGTGTCTTTCCTGGGAGGAGTGCCATATAGCATGCAGAAGGGTAAGCCAGGCCAGAGAGAGGGAGGGAGGGAGAGGGAGAGGGAGAGGGAGAGAGAATATATGTGTGAGAGAGACAGAAAAGGGGAAGAAAGAGACAGGAACAGGGGGGAAAAAAAGTTTTCAGACAGAACAGCAGTTGGGGAAATGGCCAGGAAGGAAGAGACAGAGACAGAGAG